TTTGCTGAAGGTGCTTTTAATGTTTAAGTGATTTGTCAAGGGGCCCTAAAGATTTCCATCAAGTAGGTTTCACCTCGTACCAAGGGACAATGCGTGTGTCATCTCATCTCAGAACCCCTTTGTCAGAGCTCGTGGAATGGGTTGCCCAAAAATGGCCCTTTCGCTGCCGGGATCGGCAGCTCAGCGGCATGCCGCATGCGCAGGAAAAAAAAGCAGCGCGAGAGTGTGATGGGAGAGGCCGAGGGTTATGCCAGTTAGGAACATTTGTGCCCCACCACGAGCCAAGAAGTTTTGCTCCTCCAGATGCGCCAGAAGAACATCCTTTGGTGACGAATTTTTGAAAATCAACTTTTCTGGAGCCCTCAAAATGTCACCAGATAAACCCGCCTTTTTCGCTTCCCAGCTAGACAGTGAAAACTCATGTCTCGAGTCGTCCCCCCGACCACGTTTAGACAATTGGAATCTTACGAACCACAGCTTTGGTGGTAGGGGGTGCGACGCACTCATGGAAGGCCAAAGAAGCCTAAGTCTACCATGGTGTCCCAGCCTTGTTGAATCGGGGGTTACCCAAAATGGATGGAATGAGGGGAGAGTTTGTCTTTGAGTCCGTTCAAAGGAACATGCTCCAGCCATGCATTCCCCCAGTGCAGCAAAACCTTTGGGGGGGGGCGGTTTTGGTTAAAGGATCAAGTTTCCCGGGGCGTACCGCAGCACCGCGCAAGCATTTCGCTTGAGCCGTTGGAATATTTGAATAACGTCTTCTATATCGCTTGGGCCATGCCAATCATTTACGTGCTTTTCCATGCAAGTGTTTTCTCCGTGCTTTGACTGTCAAATTTGTATTTGGTTTGTGTTGTACTTGTGTGCATGAGCTGTGTTGCGGGCTGTTACTTGCCACCCAAATCCATGTGCAAATCAGTTTAATCATGCTTGCATGCTCTCTAGTTTTATGCTCGCAAGCCGCGTGTGATACTATTGTGAAGCCTTGCCCGATTAGATTATGTTTGATTTCGAAGTGAATTGTTAGTCCTATTTGGCAAGGATTTCCATGTATTTTCTAAATTTGAATCTAATTTCTATGCAGATGTTGAATAGCTCTCTCATAGAATCCAATGAACGTTCCAATTGATTTCTATTCAAATCTCGGAGTGCAGATTATACTTCATTCTTTGCTTTTCAATTCTCTGTAGATTCTAAACAAATTTCAAGCAACATCCTGATTGGACAGGAATCCTTATGTAAAATCCATTTAACAATGTGCCAACTTCGATTTATGTTCTAAATTGGTTGTTTGGACTCTGTTGTTTATTTTTCTAGATGAATGTAATTGAGTCTCAAATAGTATCTCTGGTTTGACTTGAAATAAGCAACTTGTTGCTTCAAACATCTTAGTTGCTAGCTAGACGTGAACTCAACAACCGTTGAAGCCAACTCAGAACAGTTCTAACTAATTTTTCAGACGGAGTCCTACTTCAATTCAACCTATCTCTCGGTTGAGATTCTATTTGGAAAGGATTTCCTGTTTCAAGGTTGTTTCCCATGCAAAATATGGTTGAATCATGCACGTATTAAACTAATTGTGTTTTGAATCTAAGTTCGTTTCACCTGAAATATCTTTCTTGGCAACAAATCCCTACTAAACTTATCATGCAACAAAATACAAATTCCAATGGAAGCCCATGTTCTTTCTTTTCTGTTTTTTTTTTGTTTTTTTTGGGGGGGGGGGGGGCGGGCTGCAGACCTGTGCATATTTTGTTCGGTCAGAGCCTCCCAAGATTGGTTTTCGTTGGGACCTGTCCGTGTTGTGTGAGGCTGACCTTAAAAGAAATCTGCACTCGTCAAACAACAAATCCTATGATGCCACGAGCAAACGCCTGCAAGGGCCAAAAATAATAATCCTCGCATAACACATGTCGCTACGATTCACACAAGAAACGGCAAACAACGGCCGTATGGACAAACCCAGCCTCCCTCAGATCTGAGCCATTCCAAAAGACGCCTTGACCAGCTGATTTCCCCTGTAAAACGGGTGGGTTTTGGATGCATCTTGAAAGGAGCCTTGTTTAGCCTGTTACTTCACCAGTCGCTATAGCTTTGTGGGGAGCCGAATCCCATAGGCTTGCTGGTCCCCACTAGGGGCCCATTCCCGAATGCCAATAAGGGGGCTGACACTAAGAAGGCCCAGGGGCGAAAACGGTTTCTTTCTTTTGGATGTGGGGCCCAAGGCCTTTTTTGGGGGGCCCCTGATGCGAATTCCTGCAAGAAGCTCCTCACTCCAAGTGGCCCAACAGTTCCCCGCCCAACAAGTCCCGAGCCGAGCGCTCGCAGCGTGCGCCCCGAGGATTTGGGCGCCGGCCTGGAGACCGCCAGCGCCCAGATCGGCGTGCAGATGGGGCGCCTTAGCCACGACACCGCGGCGCTGGGCCAAGGACTGCTGAATTATTGGGGAGGGCTGATGGAATAGCCAGGGTCCAAGTGGGTTTGTTCAAAAATAGAGGAACCCCCAAAGATGGATGGTTTCCTTTTGGTTTCTCTTTAAGCCAACCCCAAACAATGACACATCCAAAGAATCAATCGGTCTGGCTGGCTTTCAGTGACGGATCGCAACCAAGGCCATGAGCCATACCCACTTAACGAGACGAGCAAAATCGAGGTTCGACTTTGGGAACGCTCCAAAAACTCGACCCAGGGACACAGCCTACGACTCTGGAACCCTGATCAAAGGGAGACGGTGGATGCCCCAAATGGCCCCCTTTTTAACCAAAAGGAGGTTGTTTGAAAAACAAGTTTCATGATGTCTAAATGGAAGCTATGGGTTTGTGTTCGAGCATGGCAGGTTGTCCATCCATACACAAAAAAGTGGGGGGGGGGGGGGGCGGGGAAGATTGAAAGCGCGGGGCCGCGACACGGGGTGATACTGCCTGGCCACCTTTGGAGTTTTGGTTTTTTACCAAAGAGGATGCCCTCAGAAAAGCGCAAACCCAGTGACAAGTTGCTTGGCTGACAAGCCGCTCACCTAATCGGGCCCCAGCCATCCGCTTTGGCCATCCTTTTCCGGGCCAGTTAAGCCGATTGGGCCCTTAGCGAGTACGAGACCGCCAGGTGTGGCGAGCACGTTGCAGAGGTCCCAGCCGGAGATTATCCAAGCGCCCACCTCACAAGCTGCAGCGCATTTGGCAATGCCTGTTTTGCACGATGCCTCGCTTCGCTCGAGCCCAAGGCCATAGACAAGGCGTTGGGTTTGGACCACCCAGCGGACGCTCAGAAGAAGGACCGATTTGTGGGACTTGGCCAGGGCTTCGTTTTTTCTAAACTTGCTGTAAGTTTTACATATATACACATGTATATATATATATATATATGCACCCCCCCCTCCATGGACCCTGGTTTTACTGCCTTTTGGGAATGTTAAATCTAACATCTCGAGATTTAGATTCTCGAAGTTTCCCAATTGTGGGTCCCCAAAGCCTTATAATTTGGATTCCGGAGTCCCCCGAAATGTCCCAGTATGATACCTTTTCCAAATAGGATTTTACTTCAACTAGAATTGGAATTTTGAATATAATTTAGGTAGGGTATAGTTTTCAACAATGTGTTTATGTTCAATTACAGCTTTAAAAACGCAAATCCTTTCCAAATAGGAGCTACATGACAATGCAAATATAGTCTTGGGTAAACTCCAACTAATCTTTAGCAAAAGACGCTAGATAGAAGTTTATTCCCAAATACAATCTAAGTGTTAAATATAATGTGATGCAAACACAATTCAATTAGCTTTTGATAATAACAACTAAATAGAGACTACTTCTCAAATATAATTCATATTCAATATGGCTAAACAGTTAAGGGACTTCTACAAGGAAATTCGAAACACGATTTGTGTTATTTGCATTTTGGCCCATTTGTAGCATAAGCAAGGTCCGAATTAAACTTGTTAGACGGTGTACCTCCGCCGTGAGACAGGGAACGGCTAGGGGGTAGAAAGAGATACAATCATTTTTCATTCATTTCCCAGGCCTTTGACGTGAGGAATAGAAAGGCTTGGACACACATCACCCGCTGGCCAGTTCTTTCCAGCGGTTACAAATGATTTCCTCTTCCTGGATCTCATGGACACGCCCGAACGAAGAGAGGAGTGCGAATGGGAGATGAAGGTTGGTCTACAGGAAATCATATCACCCAACCTTCATTCCTCACCGCTCCCAACTTCCAGGATTTAATGGTTGGACGAAGGAATGAGCGAATGAAGGGAGCGGAATGACGTAGGAAGAGAAAAATTACACCTCCAAATTTAGAATTATTTGATTGGAGGTGTGATGAGTCTCTTTCATCTCTTTCTTTATCTGGATTTTATTATTTTCATAACAATCCAGAAGAAAGAGACCCAACAAAAGAGATACAAACAAAGGAAGTCCCTACAGAAAAGCTATTTTATTATTAACAAAGTGATTGAGGATTTATGGTTTTACAGCATTCTTCATCTTTAGGTCCCATTCAGCGTTTGGAATTCCAAAAGGACATGTCAAGAGAAGAGTCAAATTCTAGAACTATCTCGCAACAGGGATTCTAGCTACATCAGTTGTATTTAAAGTTCTATTAGGAAAACAGAATTCATTCTACCTTAAAAGGTGGAGGTAGTATATGCGCAAATGTGGACAGGTAGTTCAAGAGGGGGGGTGACTGTGTGCGAACACACGTACAGGCATATATGGTTCCGGTCGGCGAGCGGCCACCCCCCCCCCCTCCAATGGTATCCCCCCCCCCACGGGGGGGGGGGGGGGCCGCTCGCCAACCGGGGTACGACTCTCGAAGCCTTGGCCCTAAGCTGACCCACCAGCAGGGGGGGGGAGAGGCCTTTTGCAAGATGACCATAACCTGCAAAACCAGCGGGCAGGAGGGGGTGGGGCCCTCTTTAAGGCTACCATGACCATATGGGGGGGGGGTGCCAGACTTCTACCAAAAATATATGTATATATATATATGTATGTATATATATATATAGATCTGGTCTCGTGTTCTGTGTTGCTACCCCCCCCCCCCCTGGCATGGGTCCCCCAGGACCCCCCCCCCCCCTCCCCGCCCCGAAGCCCCAAGCCCCCGATCCTGGCACGGTCCCGGTTGCCCCCTGCAAGCTGCACGTTCCCGGGCATAGTACGGCAGCGAGAGATCGGTGCGGGAAAAGCCTTTTGGTTGCCTCGCTGGCTGGGATGTCACGCCGTCTTGCCCTTATGCCGGACTCGTCTGCACGGGTGCGGGTGGCCGGCCTGACTAGCTCGCGGGGCTCCAAGTTGGAAAGCGCGTGCTTGTATTGATTGCGGGGCCGGCCTTGCCATGACGCGCACGATGCCCAGGTTTGTCCTGTGGGATGCTGGTTGGAATTGGCTGAGTGCACCCAAGCCGTCCCACACACACACACACACACACACTCTGTTTGATGAATCCCGCATCACAACATGGTAGTAAACGCTCAAGGGAACCCGCTGTTTGATGAAGCCCACATCACAACATGGTAGTAAACACGCCCTAGGGAACCCTCTGCTACAGGATGCTTGGGCTGACCAAAAGGTGTTTTGCTGAAGGTCAAAAAACGGAGGTTCGCGTTTCGCCTGCGCGAAACAGCGCCTGGAAGTGCACCCTTCAAAATTTATTTTCATTATATGTATATACATATACATATACATACGCATACATACACAAATGTGTAGTAGTTCGAAGTCCTGCGCCTTGTTTGTGGGCATTACACCTACCTTTGTTTACCTCCTGGAAAAGGGAAGAAAAGAAGGGTCAACATGAGCATAGCTGACATGAAGCAAACCGCTCACCAAAAGCGTTTGAAAGTTTGCCTTTCTAATGACTTGAAAGTGTTTCCACTTGATGGCTAAGCACTTGAAAGTATTTTACTGCTGTATGGAAGATTCAAGGTTGACGATTATACAGAAAACGTTCCTGAGAATGTCAATCCCGGCCAAACCCAAACAACATTCAAGTTCTTCTAACACTCGAAAGTGCCTTACCACTGGATTGAGGATTCAAAATTGAGGGTTGCACAAACAGCAACTTTCCTGAGAATCCTCAATCCTGGTTCACCCCTGAAAATGTTCAAGTTTTTCGAAAACCCCGAATATATTTTACCATTGGGTTGAAGATTGGAGATTGACGGAAAGCTTTTCCGAGAATCTTATTGAACACTGGAGTATTGGGACAAACCTGGTTTTGTAAACAAAAATAAAAAGTAACAAGTCTGGGGCTCAAGGTTCAAGATTCCCAGAAGTTTCTCAGATTCAAGATTCCCAGAAAAATATCAGATTCAAAAGTACTGTCATGTTAAAATGCGTCGGATTTTTTCAAGAAGTGTTTTTCACCCTTCCGTGGCCCTGCATGAAATGCCGCAGGCCCAGTCGCAATCAGCCCGCCAAGCAACTTAAACCCCCCGCCCCCCCCCCCCCCCCCCCCCCCAAAAAAAAAAAAAAAAAAAACACAAAAAACAAAAAACATCCGTTTGCCCCCACCAAAAATATAGGTGTATGTGTATATATATATATGTGGTATCCCCCCATGGACCCTGCTTTGGTGCGGCTGACCTGCAATTTCAGTGTTTTATGCTCTTGTTTGCTTCTTGGATTTTGTGTGAAAATTAGAGGGGTGCCATATGTGTATATGATATGCATCCATGCATACATATGTGATGAAAACCATGACATCAGCATCTGCAATCTGAAAGAGTTTGGAGGCATTTGAGTTTTTGAACAACTCAGACGGTTTTCCTTTCTATTAATTTCTGGATTCAAAATTCAGGCCTTAGCCTCTTAGACTTTTCTCAAACTACTGGATAATCTTCCACTAAACCAACAACAGGTTAGACCTTGTGCTCATTGTCCTGATATGTCATTGTAGCACGCAGCGAAACCCTGAATGAGATCCTTCCAAGCCGGGCACCGCAAGCTGTTTGCAATGGGAAAGCACTTGACCTAGCCCGCTAGCATGGCACAACGTCGTCACGACATGACATGACACATGACACGTGACTCATGACCCCAGTGAGGGGTGCCAAGTGACCATAGTTATCGCCAAGTCAAGTTTCGCCAAGTTTCGCCGAGTTTCGCCAAGTTACGCCAAGTTTCGCCGAGTTTCACAAGAAGTCGATTTTCACTGGTGCAAAACACTTGTTTCACGCCAGAATCGCAACGAAAAACACTTGTTTCGCGCGCAGAAACAAGAAAATCACTTCTCCTTTTTCCTTTCGGAGAGCGCGTTACACCACGTACGCCGAGTTACGCCAAACTACGCCAAGTTACGCCAAGTTGCGCCAAGTTTCGCCGAGTGTCGCCGAGTTTCGCCGAGTTTCGCCAAGTCTCGTCGAGTCACGCCAAGTTTCGCCAAGGGAGACAGACCTCATGAGCCGCCGGACCAATCGGAGTTGACACTAAGCGGTGGGGAGCAGTTGCAAGGAATATGTACCATCTAGCGTAGCTGCCCGTAGTTAGCATGTTGTTCTGTGTCTGGTTGAACCTGTTGTTGAACCGTGTGCGTTTTTGTTCTCGTGTGCATACCCACTTTGCCTAACAGACGCCTAGCCCGAAACATTTCTGTTTGGCCCATTTGTTGCCAAGGGTTCCAACATGTTCACCTTTTACCTTTTTCAAAGTAGCGCCGTTTAACCGCCGCGCCAATTGGCTTTGCTTTCTTCTTAGCGCTTGAAGCGCGCGCCCATGGCCGCGCATGATTTTTGCAGGAGGTCCAGCAGCTGGTGAACCAGAACGCGGCGACGGCGGCGGGGAGCTTCGCCTCGGCGGTGAGTAACTTCTCGAAGATGCTGAGCCAAGGCGCAGCTTTACCCCGCCTTGAAGGTTGAGCTTTCCTGGGTAGAAGGGAAGTTCGAGGATGTCACTGATTTGTCTAAACCTCCCGCTTGCTTGAGGTGATTTGTCTCATTTCTCTCCATTGGCTTTGCACGTGAAATGTCCATGTGCTTGGCATTGGTGGCGGTGGCGGTGGTGGTGGTGGTGGGTCGTATGAGGTTTGGTCTTCAATTCCACTTGTCTATGGTCCATTAAATGGAGACATTGGGAACTTATTCAATTGCCCACAAAGAAAAGCGCACTCAATTGTCCCATGTCCCACAGAACCAGGCGACCCCACATGATGGTTTTCACTTTGGGTTCCCTTGCTGAAAACAAGAAGAAAAGGGTACCTCAGAACACACATGCACACCCATACATGTCGCTTTGGTCCTAGGCTTTCGCTTCCTTTCACAGCCCTGACTCACAGGCGAGCGGGCAGTGGGCAGCAACGTGAGCAGCATCCTTGCCGCGGTGGGTAGGGGCCTTGATGGGCCTTGGAAGCCAAAGGGCCAGGGAAGCTCATTGGAGTGTTTGAGGTTTGACCCATTTACCCCCCTTTGAAAGAGACCAACGCATTTGATTTGCTGGGGGTTTTGAAAGGTTAGTCAGCCCACTTGACTCTATAGCTTCACTGTTCTTTGCATGATTTTTGGTTGCTTGACTCTGTTCATTTTTGATATTTTTGGTGAGTGGTGACATGTTGTTTTGCATTTTTTAGTTTGATACTTCTGGTGGGTGGCTGCGGAAAACACATGCTGCGTTGCTACCATACCAAGTCTTGGGAAGCTAAGTTAAGGCTGTGGAAGCTGCGCCTTAGGCGATGCCCTGCAGAACGAGAAGCCCATGGCCGCAGGAGACCGTGAAAGAAAGCTTCCATGTTTTGGCGGACGGTTTTAAAACACCGCTACCACAAAAACCATGGTAAATAAAGGTGACCTAAGGGGCTAAACAATTGCTAGGATTTTCTCCCATGACTTAGCTTGGTGTAGGATTCCAACAACCCCCCCCTTCCCAACCCCCCTCTCCCTTTGTTTCCCTATTTAAGGCCTTAACAAGCAAGGCCTTTGAGGCCTTTGTAAGGTCTTATTTGGAGGAAGCCACGGGGAGGGGCTAGGTTGATCCTATGTGTTTGCATCCAAACTAACTGAACCCAAGACGCAGGGACCTCACGAGCGTTCCGCGCACGCCATCACCCCCTTCAGCGTTCCAATCACGTTTTTTTCCCACTTAGATGTGCAACAGTCATACCAGGAAACCTTATCCCTGGCCGTTGGGAAGGCCTGGGGTGTTCTCCCAGTCGCCAGCGGGCCTTCTTGACTCTCGAACCTCAGACCTCGAAAATTCGATCGAACCGCGTGGAGGATGCCCTTGGGCACAGTGCAACGATGCGCTTGCAACAGGGGGATAGTTCAGACAAACCCTGCTAATCAATCTCCCACCTTTTGTTCCCCCTAAAATGCAAAAGGTGAGAAATAGGTCTGGGTATTTATGGGTCAAGGGGTCCCCAAAGCTTTCCTTTTGGCATCGTTTTAGACCAGCCTACCCTCCCAAAGCTCACGCCTGGGTTTTGGTGCCAGCTTTCTGTGATTCCCTTGGTACCTCTAAAAGTGAGAAACTAGTCAAGCCAAAACCAACTACTGCGTTGAGGCCAAGCAGAAAGGAAACATCCACGGAAAAGGCCCTTGTTCCAGTAGCGCAGGACAGGAGCCCGCGAAGACGGCCTGGGCCGCAAGGGGCAAGGGGGCGAGGTAGCGTTTCGGTTGCCAGCTTGTTTGAAGGCCTAAGGCCTGGGCATGTGTCAAACTAGGGAGACCACACGACACGGCTTCCCTCTAAACCCTGCAAAGAGTACCCTCAAAAGCAAACACACACTCAAACACCCATTCTCACCAAGGATTAGTCAACCATTGACTAAATGGAGGGCCTGTCGGTTGAGAGGAAGTCAATCACTTTTGGGCTACATTAGGGAGTCTTTGGGCAAGCCTAGTGATGGGTGAAGGGGCCGATGTGACCTCAGGGTTTGCCTGAGCATTTGCCAACTGGCGCGGGTGATGACATCTTACATGCCCAGGCAATGAATGATCAAGCACACCCTTTTCGAATGGACATCTCTTTTGGAGCCCTTGGTTCCAAGTGAATTTGCAAGAGATCAAGCATCATCCTTCATTTTGTCGGGGGGAACGCAACTTATCCAATGAAGTCCTTGGCACATGTCGCATGGATGATGAGTTTTCTATTTACGTGCCCATTGCCGCAGATATTTGCATCAGGGGCACCAGCTTTTTTTCCCGGGTCGGTACTTGGCATTTTTTCCGGTTCAGGCGCCTCAGGTTGCACTGCACAGTGGTGCGCGCCCACCGGCTCTCAAGTGAGGTGGGTGCGCCTGACCTTGGGACTTTCGGATGCCGCCCTCATAAAGGATCAAAGGGCGCTTTGCTAGGAACCTGAAAAGTGGTCTGGTGCCCCTTGACTAGTTGGGGCACAAGCTCCCTTGCAAACAAACTGCCCAATTCTTCCTTGATGCAAGCTGTTGTCAAGGAACTCAAAGGAAAACCCAGAGCAGCATGTTTTGCTCATCTAACCCGCATAAGTAACCCGTATTTTTTTTTTGAACCCCCAAGCCCGAGGAGCTGCCTGAGGCGGCGGGCACTGCCATGAAGGACTTCTCGACGATGCTCCGCGCCTTGGCTTTTTTGGGGAAGGCTGGGGCTGGGGGTTCCTTTTTTTCTTTTGGGGTAGCTGCATGCTATGGACAAAAGTCTGTAAATGGACCCTCAGGGAGCTCGGGACAAGCACAGGATAAGCCAACTTCCTTCGGAGGTCCATGGCAAAAGCATGGCTGGTACATTTCCGCTGGACCCCGTGCATCAATTTTAGTAGGGACCCTTAGGAAAAAGTGGTTGGTGGACATAAATCCCACCGAAAAGATCAAAGCGCCCAGAAGGTTACACCCAAAGCTCCGGATCCCACGGATCTGCTCCCAGGCGGTGGGGAGCAAGTTGTGGGCCGCCTGGCGAGAGGGGCCACGGGCGAGGCGGGCGAGGCCACGGGTCTTCGGGCGTTTGTGCGGTTGAAAGGTTTCCTGACTTTTGATACTTTGGGTTTTTGGGTTGAAGGGGTTGGGGGACTGGTGTTCGGGGGTTAAACCGAGTTAAAGCCTCGAAATGCGTGGTTTCAATGTGATTTCCTCTGAACACCACCTTCAATCAGGGTAGCGCATCTTGAGAGCCCTTCCGTTCCATGGTATGTTTAATGACCTTTTACTTGGGCTGGTTGGCGGTCATGGGCCTTTGTAGGAAAATTTGGACAACCATGGTTAAGGTTTTCACGAAAGGAGGCCATGGGGAAGATGAGCAGGTGCAGTAAAGCTCACTCAATTCCGTAGATGTCTTAAGAGTGCCAAGGAGAAGCGCTCAGGCCTTCAACACACGCATCAAAGAGCACCACGGGGAAGAACTGGCATGGCCAACGTCGCAAACAGTGCATTCAACCTGAGGGGCTGGCCCCATGCTTTTTTCTCAGGGTCCTACGCTTCTGGCTGGAGCTCCCTCGCTGGTTGGGATGTGCTTGTAGCCCGTTGGGCCAAAGGTTTTGCCAGATCCTTGCTCCATCCGATCATCCAGCCTGGAGGGGAGGTGGTTCTTGGGAGTTGAGGGACCTTGGTGCGGTGCTTGGGGAGTGGGTGGGTCTTTGATGAGCTCCATCCAAGGCAAGATGCTGAAACAGCAGCAATCCGAGCCGCAACCTGGCACCAAGGGTTGGCGGTGCTAGCTGGGGTGGGCCATGTCTGGTTTCAGCTTGGCATTGAGCATGGATGGATTCTAGGCATTGATCGGTGGAATCCATTGAGTTGTAAAAAGGAACATATAGGGTTGTCCCAGCCACCTTGTTGCAAGATGTTTTTGTTTGTGCTATATATTTCTCGGCGGCGCAACTTGGTTGTCGCACAACGGGGTGCTTGCAGCATGAGCATAGGCATGTCAGCTGGACTACGGCATGTGCCTTTTTTGTGCTTGTCAGGTTATTGTCCCAGCCGAGTTCTGAAGGGCCCCCCAACCCCTTTAACAACCCGACTGCCTTTGAAGCAAGGAGTTGCTGAAGCAAAGACACGCAACGGGCCGTCGGTGAATGGTACCTTTGGTACATATGTCGATATGTCCCGTGTTCTTGTATTTGATCGGAGCTTCGTGGTGCATCAAGGGGCCCATGTTTTGGAGTGGGTTCGCTGATCAAGCGCTTTCAGACTTTAGAACAAGCAAAGCAAGCACCTCAGTTGGAGACCTTGTGTCGCGAAACAATTGGGGGAGCCTACCAAACTGGCTGGTTTCGCCCGCGAATCATTTCCTGCCGTACAAGTCAGGCAAAAGACATGTTGAGTTTTTCCGTTTGGAGGTGAAAGGGCTGGGTCCCTGAAAGCGTCCCGGAACCTAAGAGGGGGGGTCCAAACTTAGGAACCCGGAGGACCTTACGAATGGTCCGAATGGAGGCCCCCCCAAAATACGGTCCCCCAATTTGAGGGTTCCTTCATTTCCCAGTTTGATCAGGGCCAAGTGAACACGTCTTGGGGGGAGGTTAAGAGCGGACCTGTTTCTGGGTTTTCGTTTGCTGTTTCGGGACTGATTCGACCCCCCTTGTGCTGAGCCCACCGCTCAATAACCTTTATGCGTGCTTTCACCGCTTAAGTTGTCTGAGCGGTCATGAGAACCGATGTGGGCCTGGTTCTCCACAACCCCAAGCCTGTTTTCTGACCTCCATGTTGGTCCAGCAAGCAGGTGGGATCGAACAAAAAGCGCGCGGGGTTTCCCAGGTGTTCCATTGCGGGTTACAGATTGGGATTGGGGATGTCGAACATTTTGCACAGCGCACATCAAGCAAAAACAACGCCAACCACCAAAATCCTAGTAGGGCAACTTGTGTGATATCGTGGAGACACCCGTTTGATTGATGAAGTAGTCATACGAGATGACCCGCCTTGGGCTCACAACAAGTCTTGTGTCCCGCATGGTCAGGAACGGCTTTAACCCCTTGGATGTCTTCAAGAAGACCTTCGAGCAGGGAGAGTCTGCAGCATCCGAGGGCAAGAGCCCCTTGGACGTCTTCGGCAACATGCTGCCCGGCTCCGCATCGGCGTCGGCAGTAGTTCGTGGACCTCGCTTTGGTTTAAGCAGATAAGCATCGGCCTGTTGAGCAAAGCATGGTGAACAGCCGACCCTGGCCCGCTTGGGAAACCAACCGGTGAAGTACACCACAGGGGCTAGACTTCTGGGGTACCTCAAAAGCAAACCAAGTGGCGAACAGAAGGAAATCGTGTGTGCAAGCTGGCGATCCTTTGGGTGATAGGAATCCATTTGTTAGAGCTCACCTGGGTGTGTCTTGTCTAGGGAGCCAAAAGCCAAAGAAACGCACCTCTCCAACAACGCACGCCCTACCGTCACCCAGTGGCTCGTGCCGATCGGGCCTTTGGAACCCGAGCCTTTGTCGGATCCGAGGCTTGCGGCTGCAACCCCGCCCCCCAGATGAAGGCGCGTGTTGGGGGTGGGGCGTTGTGGCCGCCGAAGCAACGCGGTCCTGCAAAGACCCTTGCGTAGATATTGTGCGCTGGTCCTTTGTAGAGAAGATCCTCTCAAGAAGTCTTGCGCAGACCCTCTCAAGGATTCTGCGCAAACATCTTGCCAAGACATCCTACCAAGAGATCCTGTTCAGAGATCATGGACACGGATCTTGCCCAGAGATCCTTCAAGAGATCTTGCGCAGAGATGTAAAGATGCCTTGCGCTTCAAGAGTCCAAAGAGGTCTCGCTCAGGACCTGCCAAGAGTTCCTTTCAAGAGGTCCTGGTCTTGTAGAGTGCTCCCTACTCACCGAGGGTGAGGGATCCGGGCCGGGAGATGCTACCAAGAGATCCTGCCAGAGATCTTGCGCAGAGATCCTGCCAATCTTGCGCTGGTCCTCGTAGAGATGCAACAGATCTTGCGCAGGACCTGCCAGGGTTTCGTGTCGACGCACCTTGTAGAGGGCTTTCCCTACAGATCATGCAGAGAGCTTGCAGAGGGCTCTCGAAGGCCTCATCCGATCTTGCAAAGATCCTTCCGCCCAGGTATCCTCTCCAAATCTCTCGTGGAACCTCTTTCCACAAACGGGAGGCATAGGTGTCCTTTTTGGTTGTTTTAGTAGAAACATAGATGGCCCTGGTTTTCCTGTTGGTTTAATCATGTACCAGGGCCATCTATTTCCCCACCTATGACAGGAGGCGCCTTTGATTGCAGAGCACGCGGTAGAGCTTCTATAGAGACCCTGCGTGTATTTGCTGCGGCTACTTTCATGATAGTTGCGTGGGGGTCCTGTCTCATTTTTAAGCATTGCATGGAGCCTCTGGCTGGCGCACTTGGTTCTTTGAGCGGGGCGCCAAAAAGACACCATCTCCTTAGCTTTGCCAGGGCCCCGAACAAACATTGACGTTTTGGGCAGTCAGCTCCCCAGAATTGATGCTTCCTTTGCACGTTTGGTGAATGGTCAACCCAAGGATTGCCAAGGTCACTGGCCAGCTGCAGAGTAAAAGGTCGAATTGGTTCGGATAGCTTCTGCGGATTTTCATTGTGTTGGTCAGGGGTCCTTCTTCTGCAATTTGTGGGATCAACCATCACCTTCTGGAACATTTAATTCAAGTTTCCTTTTGTTGGGGTGATGTTTTCACTGGCAATTTGCAACCCTGCAGCCAGCCAAACCATTTCCGCGAAACCGGGGGCGCCAAGCAAACGACGAAGGAAGACAGCGCCCCCTGTCCATTCGCGTTTTGTTTTTTTTTAAAGTGCACCTCGGTTAAAGGGATGGCCAAACCAAACTTGCCCTTCGTGCAGGCGCCTTGCCCAGCTGTCCGCCGGGGCGAGAATTCAGTGAGGCAGGGGTCTTTGCATACACCTTGGAAAGATGATCCCATAGCGGGTTTCTTGTTTTGAGTTTCTTTTAAGCTGTGGGTTAGGGCGAAATGTTGGTTGCCTTTTTCTCGGAAACACTTCGAATTGACTTTTCTATCTCAGCCACTAACCGACCATCGTGGAACGCTTCCTCTGGGATCGTTTTGGGGCTAAACTGGTCTGCCAGGATCGCTCCACGGGGTAAAAGGTACAGCGTTGGGATGGGAATGCAAGGACATCTGTCAGAAGGAGACATGTACAGAGGAGGTGGCTGCGGACTTTCAGACTGCTACGTCCGGAGACAAGACTTAGCCAATTAGCCGAGGTGCTTTCAAGTTCTAGGGTTAAGCAGAATGTCTAACGTCCGGACGTTGGGCCGAGTCCAGGACCGCGAGGCCAAGAAATGTCGTTTCACGGACTCTGTTGGCGCGCCTGCAGGAACAACTTGGTTGCCGCAGCCACATTCAGGCAACTCTTGGTGGATTGGTGAGTTTGTGGATTTGAGCCTGTGGTTCTTGGTGGAATGGGAAACTACCTCCAAACCAGCAAACCATCAATCGAAGCCACCACCTAGAGGGGGTGAATATGGGCCATCTTGCAATTAAGCCAACCAACCACCCAAAGTCTCCCAAGAAAGGTTTTTGAATATTCCCTGCTTGCAATATTGAGTTGGCATCCCGCGCGACTCCTGGTTGGGGGATGTCGGGGGTCTTCCAAAACCTTCCTGCCAGCTTGCGCAATGTCGGAGGGAGGGTAAATGGATATTGGTGGTGTGGACCGTTAACGGGAGCCTGTTCAGAGAACCTTGTAGGGTTGCTTCGGGGTATTCGCGAGTGGGGAGGTGGTCCCAAGAGCGATGTCACCATTCAGCCTTTCTTTCTTTCCCCAATGCCTTCCAACGCGACCAGGCTACATATCAGGCACTGAACGCGACAAACACAAGATTGGACGCATGAGCAGCAGCGCGCACACGCAGAGGCTTCGCTTCTCTGGGTGGCTTTTCGAGTTTTCTTCTTGTTTTGTTCTGACCCGCGAAAAAGCAGTGTGTTGCCGACATGCCAACGGTTGGGCAGAGGGTTCCGAACTATTTACGGCAGAGAACCCAACAAGGAGGCAGTACTTCTTGACCTCTTCTCACTTGCCCAAACGAATCTACCTTTTGACACGGGGCTGACGTATGTATAGGGGCTCCTTTTGCTGGGCCGAGCGAAGCTGCAAAGTCGAAGTGGACGCGCGCGCGCGCACGTGCGCCTGCGATTCGCAGCGTTTCGGGCCACAAGCGCCGCTCGGCCCTTTTTTCTGATGGCGGCCGCTGGCGCCGGCGCCAAGCGGGGCTTGCCCAGTGCGAGAAACGGTCAGGGGGGTTCGTTATGGTCAGCTCAAACAGGTTTTAACAAACAGGTTCCAGAGGGCACCAAAGGACAGCCATGTGAACCCATTTTAGTTTTCCAGTTGCTGAAGCAGGAAACGACAAGGAAAACAACGTTTGTTGGGCAACCCCAACATTGCTGGTGGGGGGAGCGCGTTCCAAGTCTTTTGACGTGCAAAAAGCCAGGGTTTCTGTTTTAGGCCTCTCCACGTCCCCCTGCGGTTTGCCGTTGGGCCCGGCGTCGAGGTTCTCTTTGGGGTTTGGGAAGCATTGGGCTTGGCTCCTGGGGTTCTTCAGCTTTTTCTGGCGTCCGTTTTTTGGGCCAATAACTTCCTTGTGAAACCAGATGGACAATGTCCAAACCACCAAACTTCTGGCTTGACACTCTTGCTGGTTCTCAGGGAGTTTCAAGAGTGTTGGGAAGGAACCTAGGGGGGACGCCAAGGACCGCTTAGATGGTTCATAGGAGTCGTTCCCTCATTTCCCATTGGCAATCAAGCATGCTGCCAGGTTCTAAACACGGCATTTTTGGTTTGGGGCAAACGCAGAGGTAGGCTGTCTGCCCGGCTATGAACGGGCCCAACCTCGTTAGGCCACGCTATATACGCATAAGGACAGACTCCTTGTTGCCTCCCTGAACAAGTTGGTATGTTTTGGTTTCCGTGTTTTCTGCCGGGTACCATGCACGAATGAGATTGTGTGTGTGTGTGTGCGTGTTGGTTGGTTGGTTGGTTGGTTGGTTGGTTGGTTGGTTGGTTGGTTGGCTGGTTGGTTGTCCGCATCCCTGGCATCACCAGCCTCGCTTGGACCTAGGCCGCCCATTGGATCAGACTTGGTGGCAGTTAAGTTGCTTGGGTTGGTTTAAGGCGAGTTTTGGATGCCTGAAATCTTCATGAGGCCGATCTCGGCCTGGTTTGGCTGGCGTCCATTTAGGCTCAGCAATTTGCTGGTATCGGTTTGGGTTGACTTTGGGTGGGTTTGGGTTGGCTCGTGCTAGGTGTGCGGCTGGTTTGGCAGTGGCTTCAGCAACTTCAGGGTTGCTTTAGGATGTGCTGCTTGAGTGAGTTTTGGGCTAGTTTGCCAGCCTTACAGAAAGCACTTATGTTTACAAAGCGAACAGCCTTAGCGAAGAAAACGGCCACCTTGCACAAACAGGTGGGTGGGCCCGGTTTTCCTGCAGTTCATGCATGCAAGCAACCTTACCCCCAGCCCTTTGCCCCTTGAGTTTGTTGGGGGAATGTCAAACATGTACAAACTCTCAGGCGAAGGTTTGCCGTGTAAGGTCTCTTGCACGTCTCCCCACTGAGCCAATCAGCCACCGCTTTTGGCGGCTGTGCATGGGCCTGCAAAATAGCCAACCGTGCTGAAAACAAAAAGGTCCTTTCGGTTCCCTTTCAAACCAACCCCACAAAGGATACCCTCAAAAAAGACACTTATTTGTCCCCAATATTGTTGCTATTCTCCCCTTAGACTGCCTTGGACTGCCTCGGGGCAGTCTTTGGTAAGGTCAGAGGAGAAGAAGGATGGCCAGAGGACGGCGCAGGCAAAAGGGGGGAGGGCGAGCGGAAAGTAGGTGGCCCAATGTTTTCATTGAGGCTTGTTGCTTCACCACCCCACGAATGGTCAACTTTTGAACCTGGGGGATCTCTTTGAAATTGTCTGGCGGTTGAGGTTCATTAAACATGGGCAAATACAAGCATATTGGTTTTGGTCGGGGAGGTAGATTTGCCCTGCCTTCCTCTAGCGTGGAAGCTGACAGGAGGTCCTTGTCAGAGGGAACTTTTCCAAGAGGTTGGCCAACCAACCATATTAAATGTTGCGCATAAAGATGGCCGTCCTCCTCCTCCTCCTCCTCCTCCTCCTCCTCCTCCTCCTCCACCTTTTTCTCCTGATACGCCCTCATTACAGAGCCGCACCCTGCAGTGCAGACAGGGCTCAGACCTGCAGCGCTCCTTTCGTACTTGACTGAGCCAGACTGCCCGTGACTGCAGGGCTCCATGTATTGAATTGTGCACAAGTGCCCCAAACAGGGTCTGCGGGATCTCTACTGTGCGTTTCCGGACATCCAAGTTTTGTGAGAGTCCGTTTCCCACGTCTCGCCAAAGTCAGGGCCGGACTCAAGTTGCATTGTCGCAGCGGTGCATCAAACAAGCTCGATGTGAAGGCTGCTTGCATCCACTGACTGATTGCCCCCTGCTGGCTTCCCCATTGAACTCAGCATCCTACAAGCCCTCCAATTTCACGAGCAAGAGTTCGCATTGCTGCAACTGGCACGCAGATATTTTCTGTTGGCATCATCGCATTTCGAAGCCAACGCAAGGCAAGCAGATACAAAGCTCCGAAAAAGAAAGAAAAGCGGAGAATCCGGGCCGGGACTCTGAAGTATTCTACTCACACCTGAATCTAGACTCTGGCTTCTTGTGCAACTTAATTTCTTAGCACTGACCCACCGTACCTCTCTTCGCTTCAAAGGAAGCCGCAAGAGAACCCGCGATTTGTTGGGGATCCCTTATTTCAACACACACACACACATTTCCGAGAAGTCGCAGAGGAAGTGGAGCACATCGTCAAGCAGGCAAACGAGCTGAGCGTTGGCCCGGGCCTCGAAGCTGACAGAAGCCTGGATTGGGCCGTGGCAAAAGGCGTCAAACAACTGGGGGCGTGGGTGTGCCATCCTTTGTTTGGTGGTGTTGAGACGGAAATCAACAGGGAACCACACTCAGCATTGGAAACACACCCTCTTGCTCGTGGAAGAAGGCAGCGGCCTCTAGATGCCGCTCACCCTGTGGGAAATCGGGCATGTGTGTGCTTTTCCTTTGAAATTGGCTAAAGAGACCATGCTTGTTGAGTCTCCAAAAGGAATCAAAAGGGGAAAGGCTTGATCTTTCGAGCTCCGCTGTTTAACTCCCAAGCATGGCATTCCGGTTCGAACAGGTGGTTGCCTTTTGGTTTCAATAGGGGATTTCGGCTAAAAAAGTAAGGATGCGGCTTTCTGGTTCCGTCGCATACCCTCCTGCCAACAGACATGGCTTGGTGCCCAGGAATCCTTTTCCAAGAGGATCGCAGTCTTCCAAAAGTGAGTTTACCTTTTTTAGTTTTTTTTTCTTTTCAGAAGGGCGACGCCAATTCGATGTTTCTCGTATCATAATCCTCGCATGATGATTGTTAGAATGGATTCACTGGATCGGACAAACCATTTGATAATCATTTGTACTTATGCTTTGCTGGCACAATGATTGTCCAGTTGCAGCTTGGTAGTCCAACTGCTTGTCGACTATCGAGTAGCACTTCTTACTTGACTGTTGCTAGTTTTCGATGTCGGACGCATCAACTGCATGTCCCTCAGCCCCGGCTTTCGGGCCTTGGATGGCAGAAGCATCGGCATTAGCTTTTCTGATTGCCTTTTTCGGCAAAGCCAAAAGATCAAATGGAGGTCAGGCAACAGGTCCGGGGTTGGAAAAACAGGCAACCCCTGGATCCGGATGCATTTCCACGACTCGCTTTACTGTTCTTTGCGTGTTTTGGGTGAGGTGGGTTTGTTATCGGCGGGCTCCATTCCGAGACCTTCATGCCTCCAGCTAGTTAACCCCTGATGGCAAACTCACACTTGCGAGTAGAAGGCCCAGTGTTCCCTTTACTCTCACCTCATTGACGGGATCCGAATTACTTTTAAGGCCTCCCTAGTCTATAGTTAGCGCACCAGCCCACTCCAAACCAACCCTAAACCCACCCAACCCTCTAGCAGGTCGGGAGTCGATACCCTTTGCAAATTTACATAGAACCCAAAAAACAGGATTCAAAAGTCACTGCCTCTATAATAGCCGTGGGATTTGTGGGTTCCTTCCGTTTTTTCAGCAGAGTAGCAAGTGAATTTGAGCATGTCCCGTTGGAGGGCCCGGCTAATTGCAAAACTACAGGGGCCCGATGTTAGGCACCAATTTCAACCATGAGGGCCCTGTCTTCTTTTCATCAACTTAAGTGAGCGTTGTTCAAAACAGGGGACCTATACAGATGCACGGGTTTCCCTTCGGCTTGCCTTAGTGGAAAGAGAGGGGTCTAATCCTATTTTGAGAGCCTCCCGCTATTGAGTGTGCATCCCAGAAGAAAGACAGGGAGAGAGAGAACACAGAGAGAGGGAGAGAGAAAGCGAGGGGAAGCTTCCCTAAAGCAGCTGAGCCCCCCGCGAGCCTCCATGTTCCGCACGCCATGCACGCCATGGGCCAGCCAGCTGCGTGCGCCGTTCTCGCGGTGCTCCGTCGGAGTAGCGCTGGGACAGAGGCGCCGTGCGCGACGGGCGGTCGGGTGGGAGTTCGGCAGTGGGGCTCGGATGCCAACTCGGGTTGGATGTTAATCTGACTGCCGGCCGGGGTACATATGCATCTACATACCTATGTATATTATATCATATATGAATATATAGATCAATATGCGCAATTACGTATGTGAGTCATTGCCCGCTACCCAGGTACCCAAAGACCACCACACCACGGGAATGAGCACAAACAACACAAGATGTATGCAAGCACACGCGTGTTTATATCGTTACCTGCAAAAGGGGTTGTAAAGTGAGGTTGGAGTTTTTCAGGGTTTCTGGCTATCAAGTTGCCAGGCTTTTTGTTTGTTGATTTGAGGCAGGTGGAATCCCTGGTGCACGGCTCTAGCAACTGGACAGACCCAATGTTCAAAGGCCAAAACGGTGGGAAACCCCTCTAGCTCTCTTCATATATTGACGCTCGTCTGATCGAACTTACTGGCGAAAAAAGGGTTTGTCTCTAACGGGGGGGAGAACAATCCCCAAACGTGGCTCGGTGTTCCCTCTCAACCCACCCCTCGAAGAAAGAGAGCACGCTTCAAAGAGGTGCGAGAGCACACTACGTGCATCTCTTCATGCGGAGCAGTTTTTCCGTGGTGCAGGGTGGGTGGGTTGCCAACAACGGTTTCAACATGCTTGAAGGAGGAGCCGCCCCAGTCCGCCCAAATCAGCGTCCGCGTTCCGCGAGTCAACCAGGCGGATTAATGGGTTTTGTTAGCCCAAGCAAGTGAAGGGTCCCCTGTCGAATGGGGCAGCCGCAGGCAACCAGCTGGTAGGCTGTTTGTTCCAATGTGCATATGTATGCTTTAATCCGTCCCAACTGCAGGATTCTCCCTATCCACAGTATGAAGTAACAGGGGGTGAATCACATGGATTCCGAAAACCCGCACGGTCGAGGACGGGGGACTCAAGCGGGCTGCCACATCTGCCGGTGAAGACCTTGGGCCGTTTGTTGGCGCAGCCTGGCGCGCTGAACTCTGCCACTCGGCGGAAGCGATGAGATCTGCCGACTCTTTTTGTTTACCCTTGTTGGCCAAATCTGAGTTATGTCCCCAACAGGTGAACCCTACATTTTCTTGCAGGTTGGCTTGTACGCCCAGTTGCACCCCACGCCTAGCCCGCCTCAGTAGGGTTGTCTACCAGGGAAGCACACAAAATGGTTTTGGATTTCCGTTATTTTTCCCTTTAAACAAACCCTGAAGAGGATACCCGTCGAAAAGAATCAACCTGTTTGTTGTGGGGGGGGGGTGGCCTTCGGTCGCTGGCTTCAGGTGGACTTTGAGCGTGCGGTGGGTTATGCCATGGCCAAGGTGGAGGACATGGACGGCAAGGACCCTAAGGGGCCCGACCCTCCCCTGGCCCCATCTTGCCCTTAGTGTTTTTAAGCATCACCTTTCTCGGCAAGTGTTAAAGGGAGTTCTCTTGGTGTTTGAAGCGGAAATATAGGGAACATTGCCCAAATATGTGCATCAATATTTTTGTATATATATATATAGTATATATATATATTATATACATATGTGTATAGGGGAACCTCCTTTGGTGGGTTTTGAAGGGAACTTCCAACGGGAAGCCAAAAGGAACCCAGCCTCGTTTTTTTTTTTTTCTCTCGGGCGGCGGTTCCATATGGTGAGCGGAACCCAACTAGCGCCATAAAGCCCAGTCTGATTTGGGGCAAGGCCTTGGGCGCTTGGATTGGGCAGAAAGCGAGCCTTCAATTGTCCGGATGCTAAGGGCATATGCGTGAGCACCTTGGCCTTGGATCTTTGCACATGGTTGTGCACCCCCCTTGGGGGAGTTGGGGTGTCCACTCGCCAAACGCACCAGGTCCCTTTAGGCAAGACAAAACTCGACCAAAACAGGAGGTGTGTTTGGGATGGCTTGGGCAACTTGCCTTCTTTGTAGATGCCAAGGGGGCTCCAAAGTTAGTCATTACCTTATTGCATTGCGTTATTTCACAGCGCGTCAGCAAACAGGGGTTGCCCGCTGTTAGAGTTGAGGAATGGCACTCAGTCTTTGGGAGCAACAGCTACTTGTTTTTACAAAATGCAAGGATTTTTCGCTGCCCGGGGATAGGTCTTTTGGAGGTGGGTGGCGGGGTTGGGGGTGCGTGCAATGGACACTTAGAGGCCACTTTGACAGACTCACACCCTCAACAGCCAAAACCCAAACAAAGGAGGTTGCAAAATCCCTCAGGCAGACCCCCCCACCCGAAAGACCCCACCCCTTTTCTTTGGCGCATGGTGTTTTTCTCCCCAAGCGGTTGAGGTTTTCAACACGACGCCATTTGGGGAAGCGAGTGGGCGACGCGCTGACGCGGTAGGACTGCATCCGCGTCCTGGGCGCCTTGTCGGAGTCCGCCACGCGCCCGGAGCTTCCGCAGCTCAGGGCGCTGGGGGCGCAGCTGTCGGAGCGCCTGGAGGACATCTCCAACAGCGCCTCGGACTCGCCTCGGCTCCGGGGGGTTTTGGGGGGGGGGGGTGGGGGTGGGTGGGGTGACCTAAAAAACCAGATCAAACCACCAAATCGGGGATGGAAGATCTGAAAGAAAGAACATGTTATGTTCAGTGCAACTACCAATGCACTTGGTTGCAGCAACGCTGAGAGAATCAAGCATGACCATGGTTGCAACCTACGAATTGGGTTGAATATCTATTATGTGGCTTACCTTGGTATACCCTTGATACAGTGGTCCGCCCGACTTCACCTGGGTAGCTTAGTGGGGTTGGTGGAACGACCATCTTAGAGTCTTTCAATCGTCACTTGTTGAATCGAACTCTTGAGGCCTTTTCCCCGCCCTGATCCAATGGCTAAAGTCAAAGGCTAAACAACTATACGAACCCATTGGTATTGCACCCCTAGTTTCTGTTTTTCAATGGCTAGATTGTGGGAAACCAGCCCGGGGGGTCGTATGAAGTTCCATACGGCTGGGGTCATAATTTGGATTGCTCCGGGACTCGTTAAAGTCAGACACAGTGGTTCTTTCCCTTACCACTTGAAGGGCGACAACGGTCAACTAAGGAGACTCAACCAGCTCCCCGGTGGAAAAGCATCCGTAAGGCGTTTTTGGATCAATATTTAGCTAGGGACACCACCCCCCCGAAAAAACAAATGAGCAGTTGAATGAAGCAAACCCTGGCCAAACAATATGGACATAGTTGATCCCCTCCCTGATCCAGCCCACCCGCCCCCCGCCCCACCCACCCCCCCTCCCCCCCCTCACCCCATCTCACCCGCAGGCGACCTGGCGGCCTTAGCCTCGAACTTGGCGCGTGTCTCGCAGCCCGTGGCCCCGGTCTTCGCGCGCCTCTCCGGCGCCTTTGGGCGCCGAGTCTCTGCGGCCAACCCCAAGCAGCTCACCGAGGCGCTCGAACGAGACTCTTTGTTTTCGTGAGCTGGCTGGATGGCTGGATGGCTGGATGTGGGCTTGAGGGTTAACCATGTTAACCTGTAAAATCATGGAACAAAGGGAGCCCTCTTCCATGCGGAGCCAGAAAAGGGGTAAATCCAGTGCGACAAGGGGCCTGTGTGGGCCACTCCTATTGAGGCAACCGAGCTCTTCAAATACCCAGAAGCCAATACCAAACCAATACTCAACCCTGGTGACACGTTGTGAATTGCAGGTTGTCCTGAACCCTGCACTGCTGGCGGTCTAAAGACCTTCCTGACAGCAAACGCCCCCCCGCTGGCAGGGAGGGAAGAGATTGACAAAAGGTCCCCCAAGCGCATGGAATGGGAGGCATGGATTTATTCCAGTTCCTCTCCGCTCTTTTTGATGACACCGCTTTTGGGACCAGCGTGGGATAGTTCGATTGATGGGACAGGGTCCCGGGTATTTCTCCCACTGAGGACTAAATGGCACATTTTGCTCAAAAAGCCCGAAACAGAAAGGAGTGTCTGGGTTCCCTTCGCTTGCCCGCAGCACATGCAGCCTTTCTCCCCTGCCAAAACCGTTGTTTCACGGGGAAGCTCTGTCGATTTGGGTCCCACTTGTCGTTTCCTTCCTTCGATTTGCAAAAACAAAACAATTACATGGAACCCAACGGCTGGATCCCCACAAGAACATATCTCTGAGACAATTGCCGTTTTGAGGCAACGTGGAACCTTCCCCTGCAGACTAAGAACATTGAGCTCAAAACGTGACATTTTAGGGGAGCCTGTTTTTTTGGGGGGCCTCTGTCTGCGTCCTTTCGTTCCGTCGCAAGAACGTGGCCGCCCAAAAGGGGTCGCCCACAAAAGCTGCGTGATTGTTAGCTCCACGGGATGAGCAGGTGATTTCGGATGCTTCCTTCTGCATAAATAAACTATAACCAGCTCCGAGGTTAAAGGTCCATTGCTGGGCCATGCCTTATTTTCAGTTGGGAATTACAATTGCATCAGTGTCTCCATGCGGTGCTGGTCGAACACACCAGCTGCCGATCCGACACCAGATCCAGACGCGAACACTTTGGGGCATAGCAAGCCGCCAGATACCTCCACGGCTCGCTTTCCCATGGCCTCTTTCGTCGACCTGCGGTCCCTTCTTTTGGCAGGTGTTGGCGGCTGTTGTGGGTTGGAAGAATGGGTTGGTCTCAAAATGGGAAAGCACAACAAAAATTGCCGGGCTTGCACTCGTTTCCGTCGGAGGAGCATCCTCAATACACGCATCTTGCAAAGGGCCCTCCCCGGAATTCCCGGGCTTCCTGGTCGCCTTGGGCACAAAGAGCTCGCTAGGTGGCCTCCGCCTTTGCGCGCGCGCGCCTGGCGGACCGCCGGCTCTTCCCGCGGATGGCGCAGGCGGCGGTGAGGCAGCTCCACCTCTTCGGGCCGAAGGAGCCGAGAGATGCTGTTTTCCGCTGAGGGTGCACCTGTTTTGGTGGTCCAAACGGGAAACCAAGGAGAACATGTTTATGTTTTTTTGTTTTTTTTTGAGCGGGGGGTCCCTAAAAGAAGACACCCATATGGAGGTGTCGTTTTTCTGAGGCTATCCTGTCTTGGAGTGGCGTTAAAAGGAACCAAAAGCAATCTCCTCTCCTGTTTGTGTGTGCCCTATTTCAGTACAAACCCATTTTAAGTTTGTGGCAGTTTACGAGCCTACGGGAGACAAGGAGTTGTCCATGCCGTCTTGGGGGAACAAGTGATTTGACAGGCCCGGTTTCTTCACACGGGGTTGGTGAGATTGAATTTAGTGGTAAGCAAATTGACTAATCCACTCAGTAAGCAAGTTCCTTTCTTTGGACCTTCAGATAAACAACTAGGCTGGGGCCGGGGCCTATGTTCAAACCCGGAGTTGTGGTTATAGACCCCTCGTAGCACATATCAGATGCGCATCGGGATGCGCAAACACGCAAAAGGATGCTCCCCTCAACACGAATTCGTGCCATGTTCAAATATGTTGCTGCCAGGTGTCAGGCTAATTTGGAGAATAACAAGGGAGTTGCGCAATAGAACTGGTGATCCTGCAAAAAAGAAATCGGTTCGGGGCTCAAATTTGAAGAATCCACGGGATTTTTCCTGGCTCTAAGCCTCTAGGTTGTCGACTCCACCGGAATAGAACGGTTCTCGATCTGTTTTGCAGGGCCCGTAAAGCAACCGTCAACGGGGTCTGGAGGGGTCTGGTTAGTTTTAACCCCCAGAAAATCCCGGACTCTCTGGAGCAATTTTGATTCTTAGGACATTATGCATATTTCCTTTTGGGGCGATGTGTGCAACCTTTAATTACTTTGGAGCTCTGTGTTGCATCCTTTTGTCCTTTTGGAATTCCTTCATTCTAATATGTTAAGCCGGCAGAGGCCCCATGTCCGGGGGTTCAAGCTAGGACCTGTCGGCCTTCGTGTCCTCCTTCGCGGCCCTGGGCTTGTGCCACGAGCCGCTGCTGGCGGCGGGGGCGCCGCTCTTGGCGTCGCTGGGCCCGCGGCTCGACGCGCTGGACCTGGCGTTGGTGGCCTTTGGCTACGCCCAGCGCCTTGGATTTGATCGGGGTCGGGTTGTAGAGAAAGCCACCCATACACTCAGTGGGGCCAAGGGCATGTCCCTTCTTCTATTTTTTTTTGGACGGCAATCCCAGGGTTTGCCGTCAAAAACCACCCTTTCAAGCAGGCCCGAAAAGGGGGCCCGAAACAAAGGGCCCGAAAAAGCAAGACACAGGTGCGACAGTTGCCAAACAAAAAAAACCATGGGAAAACATGAGTCCTGGAGGTTCTTCCTGGTTTTCCCCCCGGTGGTGGCCATGCTCTCCCAGCGCCTGCCGGCCCGCGCCTCGGAGCTTCCGCCCGAGCGCCTGGCGGAGCTCGCGGTGAGCTGCGGACGGCTGCAGGTGGCGCCGAAGGAGCTGCTGGCGCTGTGGGCCAGGCGCGGAATTTTGGGCCCCGCGCAGATCGCGCCGGAAGCGGCAGGAGGTGGCGGGATCTAACAGCAGGCCAAGTGTGCCTTTTGGTCAGGGTGCCCATTTTGGTTGGATTTAGTTGACTTTGAAGGGACACCTTGGGAAATGCTGCCCTGAGTTGAGACAAGCTCAATCAGGTGTGTATTTTGGTCAGGGAACCCAACTGCAGAACCTCTGTTGCTTTCCGCTTAAAATAAGCAAAGTGAACCATTCTTAACCGTATTTTGTTTGTCAAGGTTTTCACCCTGGCTTGCAGGAGGCACGATGGTTGCGGCCCCCGATTTCCATGCGATCCATGAGGGCCACGCTTACGAAATCAGCCATGAATGGAATGAACAAGGGTTGTACAGGGACCAGGGCTATAGTACCCTCAAAGAAAATGCTGACATGCAGCTCCTGGGTTGGCATTTCAGGTATGCAAGCAGGTAGATATGCACCCCTGAGAAGGTAGAAAGTTGGTGCACGGAACGGAACCCGCTTTGGTGGTTTGGTCATGGAAATGAGGTGGGCCAGCCTGATGATTTTAGGACACCTCCTTGTCATTTGCCCCAGGCAGCTGGAGCTGCGAGACCTCAGTCCGGAGCTCTTCGGCCAGGCGAAAACCCGTGTCCATGTGGTTTTGGTTGAGGGGAGGTGGATGCCCTAACTATGGCAAAGAGAACAAGGCATTCCCCCAATGTACCAAAATTCACCCTGGTTTTATGGTTGAGCATGGTTTACTTGCAAAATTTGGGTCATCCACCGTACCCTTTTCGCATTGGCCACTTTGTTCAAGACCTTTTTTGGGTCACCCGTTTTTGACATGCGGCACCCATAGGTCCCCCTGATCATTAGCTTACATTTGGAACAAGCAACTGTTTTGTTTGCAAGGCTCGGATAAGTGGAGGGCCCCACAAATGTGAATTTTGTCAGAGGAGGAACTAGAGGTGGTTCCCTTTGTGGTCCCCCTTGCAAATGCGGAGTCAATGTTTGGGAAACAGGCCATGCAGGGTGCATGGTGCCCAAAGGGCATCGGTCCGGTATCGATTTCTTCGGCAATCCTGAGCAAATGAACAGAGCTCGAAATGCGGGTTGATTGGCGGTAAGATTAAGGGATGAAAAGTCGTTGTGCTGCTGTCAAATCAGTGAATGTCCTTTCGAATTTTTGTGTAAGCCTGCAAAGGATGCAACTGTTGAATGAACATCTCACCGTTTTGTTGCTGATCTTCATGTCATATTGTCCTTCTGAAAAGCGAGATTTTGCAAAGCCAGCTTGGGGATCCTGCCTGTGGCATGTGTCGCCCGAAGCGCATCGCAAAATTGCGCTGCCCGAGCCAAGCTGCTTACTTACAACCGCAAAACTCTGCACGGGATGGGTGAAGGCTGGGCAAGCTTGATCATGGCGGTGGTTCCCTTCTAATAAGGGCCAATGGTGAAATCGGACAAAGGAGGTCCAAATTCATTTTCTACCAGGGTCACTGGTTGCATCCCTTACGTGATGTTGGTCGACAAGGCTGGCTTACTCTCCCTTCCTCTCCCTTCCGCTGACATGGAACCAGGATGGGGGCCTCTGGCGCAAGGGTGTGTCGCAACCAAACTTAAGGGATCCCCAAAGTTAAGGGCTTTCCCTATAAACCCGCCACACCAAGGGGGGGGGTTCCCTAAACAAAAGCGAGCCGCCCATCAGGTGTCCAAGTCCTTGTCCCTGCTGGGCCTCGCCTCCTCCCCGCGCATCCAAGCGCTGCTGGCTGCCGAGTGCCGCGCCCGCCTCAAGGACCTGGCCCCCGATCCGGTGGAGGGCGCCTGGCGCCTCGGAGCCTCGGAGCGTCGGAGCGTCGAGTCGGCGCGTCGAGTCGGCCCGCACGCCACGAAACCATCTGCCCGCTTTGCGGTACATTGCAGGGTTTCCGGGAATATGCCCGAAGTTGCAGTTTGCAACGTCTTGCAATATTGCAACGTCTTGCAATATTGATTGCATCCACCGCAGCTCGCGGCGCAATGACGTAAGGTGTAACCCTTTCGGGAAGAAGAATGATGAACAAAGCGGATTCCGGACTAATCAAGATATCTATAGGGGAGTGCGTTCCTCAAAAGTGACGAATCCAAAACTACATGGGGACCCCTATTTATCAACCTCGGGCTTGCTCATCCTGAGCTAGAATTACAGCGAGCTCACTGGGTGAAACGAGCTTACTCTTGAAGGTTCCTTTTCGACATTCCTCAATTCTGGTGAGGGAGTTCTAGGCATTTTCTCCCCCACAGCTATTTCATATTTTATGGCAGGCCAAATATTTCAGCCAACACATAGGCGCTATAAACAGGATACAGGCCCCGCGGCCTTAGGCCTTCTGCGAATAATTGCTACCATTCTGAACTGACTCAGGTGGGTGCTGGATTTGTTGGAGTGCCTGGGACTGGCGGCGGAGGATGCGCGCGCGAAGCACGGAGACTCGGCTTTCAATAAGCGCGGCAAGCCTCTTAAATGGGATTCGCTGGCTTCATTGCTCGGCTTACCTGCTTTTTGTTTGGGGTTTCCCGTGCCATCCCCATATTTGTTGGGGGATCCTCCAGATTACCGTTGGTCCTTTCCCTTCGCAACCAGCGGAAGGGTGCCCGTCTTGCGTATTGCTTTGTGCTGCTCACGCAATTGAGCAGCAGAGTCTGGTAACTTTTCAGTCGTCTCCAACTAGACCATAAGAAGGTGCCCTAAGGAAAACCACAAGGAGGTCGCTTAACCCAAAGTTTGCCAAGGGCTCCTCTGGAGGAGGCCTCTTGGTACCCCACCAGCCCTTGGGACAATGCTGATCACTTTCAGCGGAGTCCACTCTCTCCTTTTGTTTAGTGGCTCCCCCACAAATGGAAGGCCTCTAAAAGGGCGTCCAGTTCCTTTTGCCATCTTTCGGGCTGGTTGCAACTGGTTTTTCGTGTCAGGAGGCTTGGTGGTCGACTTCTGGGTGTTGGCCCTGGACGCCCTTTTGCCTGCCCTGGCCGGAGTGGTGGAAAGCCTTTCCCCGGAGGCGCTTGAGAGCTTCAAGGGCGGAACTCCCTCCTCAGCATGTGTTGTTTTGAAGAAACTAAATAGATCTAGTCTGGGAAGCGGATTTTCAACCAAGCTCCTTTGTTTCGACCACTCAGTTTGCTTCATCCCTTTTTTTCTTGGGGAACAGCCCTCTTCGGCGCACGCCTGCCCGTGTTTTCGTCTTCAAATTGAGGCTTAAGAAAAAAGAAAACATGTTCAAGGGAGGCCAGTTGATGTGTTGATTTCGTTCGTTGGCTGACAGAGACATGAGCATTTGATCTTTGGAAGATCCTGGCATTGAACCAAAAAGTGCGTTGCGTCGTGTTTGCTTTCCCGTTTGAGGAGTCCAGGCCACCTTTTCCAAGTAGCAACAGCACACGCCTGCAAGACAATTCAAGAAACAATACAAACAACAAACACAACCCGCAAAGCACCAAACAAGAAACACAACACAACAAATAACAACACGCAACTACAGGAACGCAAAACAACCTCAAAACCGAAGCTCACAACAAGCAATCACAACACAACAATCAACACGTGAATCAGAAAGAACAAACAAATCAACAGCACCAAAAAACAAAATATGTATATATCAAACACATAACGGAACCAAGAACACGGAAACTGCTAGGAGCTGGCCACCTGCTACCGCTCTTTGCGGCAGCTGCCGCCTTCCCTGGCGGCTTCAGCCGAATCGGCCTCGATTCGGGGAGCGGTGCATCGGGGCCTGGCGCTGCGGAGCATGGGCCTCGTGGCGGTGGAGGCTGGGAACCGGAAGGATCTGGGTGGAGGTCTCCAATCTTAGGGTGTCTCCAGACACGAGTGGATACACCCAGCACTCAACTGGAAGGATCTGAGGGTCTGAGGGTGGTTGCTTTTGTACCCTTTCCTTTGAGTGGAAAATGCGGGGGTCTGGGGTCGATTTTGACTTTGTGATATAGTATTGCCAAGACATGCCAACTACGGGTTTGATCTTGGAATTTTACTCGCGGGCAGGTTGCGCAGGTTTCTCCCCGAAGCTACTCCACCTGGATCCCTGACCTCCACATCCATTAAGAAGGTATGAACCTTACGTCAGTGAATGTAGCATCATCGGTGAGTGGCTATTAGCCACCCAAAAAAGACGATCCAAAAAAAGGCACAATGCAGCAGATGTGCATGCCCTCACACATATATCTTTTTAGAGATACGCATTCAGAATTAAGTTTCCTCGCAATGCACGGTGGATGTCAACTCATTTTTGCATGTATCAAACATAGCACCATGGCAAGTTCAGATTGGACCCATGCTCTCGGCCATTAGGGTCAAACTGGAATGTATAAGGAAGCAACTTGAAACTTTGGCCACTTTAGTTTCTAGTTCATACCTTCGGGTTCCGTAACTTGTAACATTTGCGGTATCCACAGTAGGTAACCCATTAGGAGTTTTCCAAAGGAAGCCAAAAGGAGATGGGCAGTCTTCTGTGTCTTCCAGGCACCCTGGAAATTAGCGCGCAGGCGTTTTTGTGTTTGAATAAAATTGGGTTCCCACTTTCGATCAAGGTCGGAAAAAGGCCGAGTGGTTTGGTTTTTTGGTGGGGTTACTGGGTCTGCTGAGCCCATAGTTTTTTATTTGTCCAAAGCCAAGCCCAATCGGGGATGGGCAATCTTCGGTTTAAGACACAGTAAGCCACCTTTCTTTAGTTGCTTTCGCTGTGCTGGACCCGCGCAGCCCCATTAAGGAATTCGGCTGGGCGGGTTTTGGTCCTTGCCGGGAGGGCCCAATCAGGGTCCCTGAAAGAGCGGTTGTATGAGGGGTTTCCAAAATAACGTGTGGACCAGTGGCTTCCCTTAAAACCACAGTACAAAGTCGAGGATGTCACTTACATGGACTGATGTTCAGCGAAGACTTGTTCTTGGCCAGGCTTTCGACTACGTGTTCCTCACCTCCGTGGTGTATTCCCAGCTCTGCTTGTATCCTGAGCTGTGCGGCTCGAACGCCAAAGACGCGGAGCCCGAGTCGGAGGCTGCGAAGCTGATGGTTTTTCACCGGTTGTCGCCTTTTGTTCGGGGCCTTCTCCAATATCAATTTAATTCTTAGGGTAGACTAAGGTAATTTTAAGCCTTGGACTATTCTGGAGGACCACACTTTTTCGCAGCTGTTGGAGACGCTTGGGTTGTTTGTTGGGATGGGGGGCTGGGGGGTGGTCCACACACAAGCATGGCCAGTTGTTGCGCAAAACAGGTTCAGTTTGCTACTTTGGGCTGAATCGGCGCCCTCCTTCCCTCACCCAACGCCGTTTTAGCCATAAGCGTGGCTTAGCTCAGGCAAGCGGGCAAGGTTCTGAACAGATCTAGCCACAAGCTCACTGCCATGGGTCCGACGGTCCGACTCGCCCTTAGACCTGTGGGAAGCAGACCTGTTGCTCGTTGCCGGGGCTTGGAGCAACCCAGTGTCGCGCAATGTCCTGCGAGGGTCTCCATTCTTTCCATCCCTCGAACTAGCCCCAGGTCGAAGGGGCTATAGCCTACATTGGGGGTTGCATGCCCAATCGCTACTTGGGTACCACGCAAACTCCTTACACACTTCCTCTATTCACCTCGATATCTCCATACGTCCATACCTCCAAAGCCTACATTTGCCCTTGAGCTGACCTGTGAAGGTTTGGTCCATGATCTCCTCCAGCTTCTCCTCCGGTTATGCCCGGTGGCGCGAACTGTCGCCGGGAGACATCGATGTCCACACAGAGTTCCAGGCGCGAGAATGACATCTTAGACAGGGGCTGTTTTGTGTCTTTCCCTTGCAGTGGTTTTAAACATCATGTTCAAAGGGGACACATGTGGAAACCCTGTATTTATTTGATGTCCGAGCCTAGAAGCAATGGCCAAATACGGGCACTGAACGGATAAGTCTTTGGTCACGGTGTATCGCTGAGCCCTCTCTTTTCCGGGGTTTTACACCACCCGGTTTATGAATGTGATAGCCCGGCCTATGAAGACCTTTACCATACACAGAACGAACAAGTTAGGCTGACATGGAACCCAGAAAGCCATCATGCACGAGGAAGAATCTCCTAAACGGACCTTAGATTCCTTGCGTTCGGGGAGCACTGGGCTTTGGGTCAAAGGGGATAACTTTTTTAAAGCTCAGTGTAAAAGTTTGGTCTTCTTTTTAGTCACGGGCAAGTGATTGAGCTCTTCTTTTCCTTTCTTTTGAACGGGGACCAGGCCCCCCAGTTTCGTCGCCATGTTGGGTCGCCCAGGTGGCCGCCCTCTCCCTGCTGGAGACTGAGCCGTCGGACGTGCGCGTGGAGACTCGGCTCAGTGCCTCGAACCTGCGGCCGGTGGCGATGGAGTTGCAGGAGCTTCGGCCGTGTGAAGACGAAAGGAGGGGTGCCAGGACCCATACCCAATGAGACCCAATCGGTTTTTCCAGATCTCTTGTTTTGCATGCTTGCCGCCTTTTACTGTGAGCATACCATCTCCACTTGAGAGGGGTGTCCTCTAAAGCTACTTTATGTCCAAGGGTGGGCTAAATATGAAACAGCATCAGAAGGTGTCGTTTTCTTTGCACCCCAAGATGCGGCCCAAATTTCGAAGTCGGTAATTAGTCGCGCTTTCTCCGACAATCATGGATGTGTACCTTCAAGCCTCCCCGATATGGTTTGAAAGAGGATATTCTGCACACAAGCGCTTAAAAGTCTGGCTTGCTCATGCTTGTCAGCATCGCACCCTTCATGGGCTTTCGGCAAAGCGACCAAGCAAACTTTTCCACCAGAGGTGTGTGAAACGAACCATGCACAAGTGCGAAGAAAAGTGGGTTCCGCGGGCCGCCTGGCCAACAGCGGCCCAACCGAGTCATGCCACGCCCTGTCATCATCAGCATCAGTCTCAGCGCATTTACAACCGTCAGCATCACCAGCATTAATTTGTGTGACAAACCAGCAGCTCCGTCGGCCATCCCACCACTGCGACATCGGCATTATCATCAGGCTCATCAGCCCCCTTCCGGAGGCCCTGCGCCCAAACAATGGCCCAGTTGGTGCCCTCTGGCCCAACTTGTCTGACATTTTTGCCCTCTTGCCCCTTCGGGTTTCCTTCAAGTTCCCCCTTTTTTGTAACCGCACTCAGGGCAAGCACTCGTCTCGCCGTGTTGTAGCTCCAGGAACTCCTCGGGGAGCTTGGCCAGAGCTGCCGCCAGTGCTGGGTGGGGCCCTTCGAGACCCTCCAAGCAGCATGGCGAGCCACGGTTTCTTTTTGGCAGGGTCCGCCATTCTGCGACAAGCCCAAGTTGCTTCTCCACCAAACCCACAAACTACAAAAAGGCGATCGACCTTTTGCTCGTCCGGGAAAAAGAGCAACCCAGGCAGAAAGCACTGGCTTCTGCCTCATGCCGGAGACTGCGTACTTCCGATCCGGAGGCCTTGAAAGATCGGTCAAAACCAAGGTTTGCTTCCATGAGCCTGGGAGTATGCTTCATTTTTCCCGGTTGGTTTCAAAAGGAATGTATGGCTATTGGACATATTAGTATTTTTGTTGTTTCTAGGGGACTTAAGCAAATGGAGGTTTTCATACATATCTACATGGAGTAGCGGATCACACTTAACATAGGGGAGCTGAAGTAATTATGAGAGACAGGTATAACTGCAACTGACAATCTAGATGAATTCTTGCATCGATTTTGCTTGACAGCTTGGTAGGCTTGGTCCTCCACATCAGCACGGGTCAAAGCCCTGGACCTTCTTTAACTTGATCTTGACCTTTTTTTCGCCTGGAGAAGGCTTCTTAATTTCAGGGTCTCAGCTAGGGGCATGTTGACAATTTGCGGGCCCCCTTTGGCCTTTTTCCGGCAGGAGGCTTCCGAAGCATCACAACAACTCACGCAAACCAAAGCGACTGATTTGAAGATTGGGTTCAAGATCGTGGTCTGCCAACGCTCCCGAAGGCTTCTACCCTAGATTTCTCACTTGGTACCGTCGAGCACGTAGCCAGTTTTGCGGCTGTTTCCCTTGACGACAGAGAAAGCAACAGGTGCACGAGGTGGTTTGAAACAGAGTTTCCCTTTGCTGAGCCCGGGGAACTCTGACTGATCCTTCCATTGCTTCAGGTTTCATGAGGCAATGTGTAGGGAATTGAATGCTGTTTGCCGCGCTTTGCGGTGCGGTTCCCATGACCCACGACGGTGGTTTTCCCTTTCTTCTTTTGTTCCTTTGCTTAAGCCAATGCTTCTTCTGCTTATTCTTCTCCTTGCTGTCTTTCTTTTTTTCTTTATTTGTTTCGTTCTTTCCTTCCCGTTCCTCTTCCTTCCTTCCTTCCTTCCTTCCTTCCTGCCTTCCTTCCTTCCTTCCTTCCTTCCTTCCTTCCTTCCTTCCTTCCTTCCTTCCTTCCTTCCTTCCTTCCTTCCTTCATTTGTTCGTTCATTGATTCATTCATAGTAAGCAGCTGGCCTTTTTTTCGAGCCATGGCCAGCAGGGGCCAAGATCATAGGATCCCCCCCCCCCCAGGCCCCAGGCAGCCCGCCAAGTGTTGCCTTCTGTGCGCCAATCATAGAGACGGACAGAAAACCTTTGAAGACGCCGGCAACCAAGTTGCGTCCTTCAGGCCGAATGAGGCCAAATGCCAACCAATGGGGGCCCATCGGTTCTCCTCAATTTTCCTTGCAAACACCTTAAGGCTTTGCGTTGGCTCAAAGCGTTTTTTTCTGGGGGAACGCCTCTTCTTTGTTTCCGTGTGCTGCTCGGGCTCTGGGAACAGGCGAGGCGCTGGAGCTGTGTGCGGAGAGGGCCGCGGAGGTGCAGCTCGTGCGGCGGCACCGGCGGACGGAGGACGGACGTCGGAGACGTCCGCCGGGGGCGGGGGCGACCTCCCAGCTGTGGGTTGGGCCCTGGCAGCGAGTTGACTTTGTTTGTGTTTTTTTTTCTCCCCCCGGGGTGCAAACACTCCAATTCGCCAATCCGGAGGTTGGACACTTTTGTGGGGGAAAGGCGATGCGCTGCTGGTATGAAAAAAGGGAACCCAAATGGAAACTTAACCATTCTTAGGGGACCAAAGCAAACCTTTTGTTGGCCCCGTATTTCTGGAAACCAAAGTCGTGGTCATGGCCTGTTTTGAGCCTTGCGTGGTCCGGGCCCAGCGGACAGGTGTTGAGCTTTGCGGCCTGGCGGCGCATGGGCAAAGCCGCGCGCAGGGCCTGGCTGGAGCAGCGGCTCCCGGAGAAAAACATGCCCGACCGAAATCATCCCCCCCCCACCCCCTCCCCGCCCCAGCCGGGAAGGCCATGAATTTGGAGAGTTGCCGTGCCCACCAAGTGTGTCATGCACACTAAAAAGGTACCATGCGTAGAGCACATTCGGGGGTTTTCAACTAAATGCACACCCCCGGTGAAATGCCCCGTCCTTTTTGAGGGTACCCTCCAAAGGTCTCAGAGGGAAACCTTGGGAAGACGGATTAATGGAGTTTGTTCCTTGTTTTGCGTTGTTTGAAAGGGAAACTAAAGTGAACCAGCCACCGTTTTAGGGGGCTCGCCAGTTTTCATGTTTGCGTGTGTTTGTTGTTCGGTGGGGGCAGCTCACCGTGGGTTGCCATCTTTTCAAAGGCACCAACGGCCTCCCCTGTTGGTAAGTGAGCTCGCTTCGGATGACAGTCCCTTTCTGGGGCATTCCCACTTTCGATTTGGCAATTCGAGTACCTTGCCCAGATGATAGCTTTGCACCTTCACCCTCTAGTTAAATCCCAACTAGGGGACTCTCAGTCTGGGAAATGTCCAATGCGCCCTTGTCAGTGAACCTTCAATTCTTTGACCTTACACATGTCTGCTTTCCAAGTCAGAAACTCGGACCATTTCGAATATCCCAAAGATGTTCCTCTTGAAGGGGACCTGTCAGCGTGGATTCCTTTTCAAGTATTTCAAGCAAACCACCACACAATTGACCCCACAAACATGGCAAACTACGGTAAATTAAGGGGGTTCCTTTGCAAAACATGGATTATTAGGGGGTTCGAGGAGTCCGCACCACTTGTGGGTGGGCCTCTCAGTGCTCGCTGAGGCCAGGAGAAGCGAGCGGAGCATAGAGAGAAGGCCTTAGAGAACTTGGCGCGGGCGCAGGAGGGGTCGAGTCCAGCTGTAGGGCGAGCTCAACCCTTTCTTCACTGTTCTTGGCATGTTTTTTGGTTTTTTAGTTTTGGTTCTGTTCATTTTTACTGGGGGTCTGCAAAAAACAAAGTTTTTCGCTACCACACCAAGAGCAGAGATGCTTTTTGGCGTGTGCCTTCAACGGCAAAAGAAAATCCCAACAATCGGCTCGGCTCCAAGGGTGGCGAAATCGCGTCAGCTTTTAGGCGGATTTGAAGCGAGCCTCTCTTTTTTTTAAAGGGGAAACATTGTTCATGGCCTCCTGGTGAATGCTATTTGGCTAGATCTTTAACGTGTTGGGATTGCGTTTTTTTGCGGAAGGCAAGCTGCTTTCTGGGCAGGGGTAGTAGCCAAGGCAAAACAGAAGGCGCGGTTGCCCAAGGAAAGGGGCCAAGCCCATGCAACCAAGCAATGATGTTTTACCCACGAGGGGGAATAGATGAGTGTTTCCCCGTTGGTGCGTCAGTTGCATTGTATACCCCAAAGGCCCCCAACGGTCAACCTTTGTTCAACGTTGGGCAACTGAATTTGCGAGCTCCAGGATGAAGGTTCCTTTGGGAAGCTCGCGGATTTTAGGTTGGCGATTTGGTC